AGCCCCCCTGAGAATTGTTAAAGGTGGTGGTGGATGGGTTTAAAAGGTTATTGGAGGATTCACTTCTTCTAGAAGGTATTTCGGCCTCGTTTTTCGTCTCCATTGCGGGGGTGAACTTCTCGGATTCACCTCTAACCTTCTCCACCACCGCTGTTTTTTTCTCCCGCAAGGGCTCCGCTGGGGATTTCATTTCACGCGACATAAGGCGTCGTACCTGTCCACTTTTTTTCCTATTTTCGTCTTTAAAAGACTTTTGTGGTGGAGGAGAAGGGGTTTCCTTTTCCCTCCTGAGGCCGCTAACGTTGGGTTGGTTGGAAGACAAATCCAAAGGCAGAGTATCTTGAATAGGCATTACTTGCTTAATTTCCTCTTTATGGGGGCTATTTTCGACCTTTACGGGCTGATTGACATGATTATGCGCGTTAGGTGTTTTACCAACCGCAGTTGGATTTTCCAAGTGGCGATCGGCTTTGGCAGCAGCTAGTTTTTTCTCCCTCTTATTGCGAGTTTGAAGAATCTTCTTAAATTTGGTGAAGCTCATAATTTGATGAGACGATGGGCGCATCGAAAAATTCGCATAAGGCCATGACTCTTTCGCCCCTTCCACGGCATCATTTTGCGTGGCGGTATGCTCGTTATTTTCATTCGGCTCCACAGGAGGAGCTTCCTCGACTGCCTCAATCTCTTCAGCCCCACGAGGCGAACTAAAATTTTTCAACGCGGCCGTAGGCTTCTCAGTGGCGTTCTTTTCGTTCTCCTTTTCGGTAATTGGCGTGGTATTTCGCGTGATAGCGTGCGGGGGGGAGGGTTGTGGACTCTGTGCATCTACACTACCTTTGGTTAACCGTTCGGCGGTGGGGACCGCTTCTTTTTCTTCGATAGTTATTTTTTCCGTCATTTTCGCTTCACTAAGATGGCGGATTACCGGCTTCGACTCGGTATTGCTTTCCACAGATAGCGTTTCTGTCAATTTCATTTGTATTTTCGAAGCTTCCGCGGATGCATCCGCTTGAGTATCACCTCTACGTCTGGCTTGTTTGCGCGATCGCCGGTAGCTTGAAAGACTTCTCACGGCAGAAGCCTTTGGCGGATTCGCCACGATAGGAAGAGGTATATTTTTGGTCAAATGGGGGACGACTGTTGGGGCTTCCGCCGGAGATTTCATCTCATTCACCGCGGGTATCGCACTTTGTGTTTTTCCTCCATTTTTTTCCTTTTCAGGGTTGGGAATCTGCGGTGTGTCCATCGCGTTAACGGTAGCGTTTTCTGCCAGTGTAGCAGTGATTTCTTTCGCAGGTAAGGCGGGAGGCGAATTAATGTCCTCGAGCTCGACAAAGAACTTACGCCGTGAAAGTTTATTATTATTATTATTTTCATTAGTGTTTAAACTACTAAACTTTTTCATATCGGCGTGAGACTTTGACGTGGGAGCTTCAGAAGGCGGGCTGGGAAGCGCGTCTGCTTTTTTCCCTTCCGCAGTGATTGATTGTATGGAAGAAGAAATGTCGATGACACTGCTAAGCGGCGCGCGTACCACAGGTATTTCCACCTTTGTAGGCGGTAGAGGCTGCACGATAGTTGTAGGTATTTTAAACCTATTCAAAGACGACGCTTTTGCTGCGCCTGGGAGGTTTTTTTGGGTTGTTTTACGTTTACGACGCTTGGCATTGCTTTTATTTTGCTGTGAATGGGTTTCAGATATCTTTTTTCCCATAGATGCAGTTGTTTTCATGGTTAAATCAGTTCCTTGCAGCGAAGGTTTCATAGGGAAAGTTTTCTCCTCGATTAGAGATCCATCCGCAGCCATTGTATGCTCTTTTTCCACCGAAGGTGGTTTGTTCTTACTGAGATTGACTTCCTTCACGGGTGAATGATACTCTTTTTCAGGTGCATCTAATTCAGTAAAAAAACGCCGCTTGCCTACGGCAGGTATCGAACCATTCACGGGAAGGGTCGGGGTGATATTCAAGCCCTCCGTTCGCACCGTTTGCGGCGATTCTCGCGGAACAGATGAGATCCCTTCCGGACTAACGGCGGCAGGTGGGGGTTGGATACTCTTCGACAGTCGTTGTGATGGCATGTTTAGTTAAGCCTTCAAAAAGGAATAAGATATTTTCGGGTCGACCGCAAGCTATTCTTTCGTACGGAGAAGGTGATTCCTGTTTCACTTTTTTTATTCTCAATTTTCTATGCTCTATATAATGCTTCTTTAACAGCAATGCTTGAAGTTTTTCTATGAAATACACTGAGAGAAGATTCAATGATGGAAAAGTGGTATCGTACACATGTGAGGAATGGATTGTAGGCGTATAAAAGAATGTCAGAAAAAAACACTTCCTCCATTCTTTCACTCCCCTACCTAACGATGAAGACAGTGCTGGAGGGAACCGTAGACCCTCTTCAAGTTGTATTTGGTTTTCTCTCTTGGCAACACTTCATAAAATAAAAAGCTTAAGGAGCAGATCTGTTATTTCATAGGTTTATGGTCACGACAACTGTAACAAGAACAAAATAATTATAGGATTGTGGATTGAGAAAGAGTACATTACTTTCAAGTAGTTAGCAGCCTTGTGCAAACTACGAACTCCAAATAAATCCATGTGTGGAGTTCTTCAACGTGAAAAAAGCATTTCCCTGCGAATCCCCTCGTGATCAGCGGAGTTTCTTCGAAAGATTGCCCCTTCTTCTGTTGGAAATTCTATTGTTTTCTGCGTGGAAATGGGGGAGGGATTAGACATAGTCGTCGCCGCCGCCTCTTCCCTGTGTGTGGCCGTTCGCCTTGAGGCCTCCGCGTGCTGTTTCTGCCACCGCCCAAAGTTCGTACACTCCGGCGATTTATCCGCGTAGCTGACCTGAATTTGCCGCCGCTTACTCTCATCCTCGTCCATAGGGGAGAAGGAAAAGTTGTTGTGCAGGGCGGCGATCGCCGCGTCGGCCTCCGCGGTTGTGGCGTACCACACAAAAGCCGTCGGGATCCGCCGCTCCTCGTGCGGCGTGACGGTCGTCGAGTGGCGCACGACGTTGACGTGAAGGACGTGGCCGTAGCAGCTGAAGACGGGGAAGAGGTCGTCTTCCGTGACGTAGGGCTCCAACTGTCCCACGAAGACCCGTGCCCTGGACTTCTGCAGGGCCTGTTTAGACGGCTTGGTGTACATGTAACAGAGGGATGGAAGGAGGGGGGGGG